GTTTAGTAGTGTGCATCTTGGGCATTGCAGATTGGCCAGTCACTTTGCCTTGAACACCATTTTGTTTCCAGCTACCCACCTAAGCCAGTGGTTTACTTGGCCTTTGTTTGCGCTCAAACCTGGTGCTATCGACCTGGACAGGACACTGAGGCTGACACTTCGCCCGCACCATCCGCTCGTTTCACCCTGAACCGAGACCAGGGCCCAGAACTCCCTCGGAGTACAGACTTGATCACGAGCGCTTGGCCCAGGTGAAAACTTTTGCTTTGGCGGGTAGGCCTTGGCCAGGACACACGCGAGATCTCGAATCGGCGAAGAGGTGGAGCCAAAGAGCCTCCCTATGGCACCAGTCTCGACATAGCTTCACACGCTTTGATTGCTTTGGGCGTCGAAACTAGGGAATCCAGTCACAAAGAGCCTGGCAGTCCCAAGTTTCGACGCGCGCACAAACTTTGCAACCAGAGTGCGAGAGCAAAAGCCAAAACCCTTGGAAGCTATCGGCTTCTCTGTTCCGCCCAGACACGTTGGATATGCGTACATGAAACATGACATGTGCCATGCACAAGTTGAATCCTACCTATTTAAAGCAGGGGCCATTTTGGTGGACATCATATGCATTGCATGAATCACACACCATGTTTGCGAGTGTTCCAACCGCTACAAGTCATGCTCAAGTCTTGACACATACCCTGCAGCTTAACCCCAGAAGTGCCTTTGGGCCAAGCTTGGTGGTGACCCATCGGTTGCGGTGGAGGCGGTTTGTGCCCCTTTCGGACTTTCGGGATGCCTGCGCGAGGTTTTGCAGTCCGCCGACATTGTGCCGGCTGCGCCCTATGTGAAAACCCTGGCGGACGGGGCATGCGGATGTTTTCGGTGAAAGCGCTGACCCACTCGGAGCTTGTGTCACGGACTGATTCGCCAGGAGGTAAAGTGCTGCTGGGAGTGTGCTCCCATATGCGTTGGTCTCAGCCCCCTTCGCTTTCACTGATTCGATTGGGTGTTCCTGTCGGACTTGTTGGCCTGTTTGCCCCTGTGTGGGTCGTTCCCGCAACAATGTGGAGCTTTGTTCGGACCATTTAGATGCGTTTGCCAGAGTAGCTGCGAAGCTGTGCTGAGGCACCTCCATCGTCATCATGTTTTGGCAGAGGCACGACTAAAGCACCAGTGGCTGAATGCTGCGGCATCGCTTTTTATTGCATGGCCAATCTACACGCCAAGTTTTTTGCAGCGTGATATTGTTCTGGTGTTGAAAATCAAAACAAAAACACACAATGTGTATAAAATCAGATATACACATTATAATATATAACGGTGCAAAGAGGCTCAGGCATGTCCATAATGTCAATGGCAAGTGTCAGCGTGTCTCAAACAAAACCACTGTGTGCGTGGGTGTTGCACCTAGGGGTTGGCTGCTCCTTGGCTTCCCTAGGGGTGGGCTGATCCTTAATGGCGGAACACCCGGAAAATCAGGGTTGGTGGACCCATGTCTTTTTCTTGCTCCCTTTCCATGAACCCAACATGCCCAGATCGCAAGTAAACCAACCAACAATTATTGCTTTCAAAGTGGCCTAGTGCCCACTTACCTTTTGCAGCGTGCTGAGCTTCAATGCGCGGTCGTTCCCCTTTCCAGCGCGTTCAGCTAGTATAGGTAAGGCTTTGTTACCTCCAAGCTTCACTTTTCTCCAAGGCCTTCCTCAGTTTTACATTGGGTGTGTCGTTTCTTTTCTGGAACCCCGATTGGTTGATAGGACACCACAAGGAAAACCCAGGATTTTTTTGGGTGGTCCCCCAAAATGGTGGGTTGGCTGGTTGTTTCCCTTTAAAGCCAGCCAGCAATAGGCGACCTCAAGAGAGAAACAAGCTCATTTGATCTAGGTCCCCCAGTAGTGCCCTTTTCCCTTTTTTGGGGGGAGGGTTCCCCTACTAAAATAGACAATAGAAAAAAGGGTACGAGTACTCGTACCCTTATTCTAACCTCTCTACTGGAGGACCTAGTGCTGGTTTCCCAGGGTAACTGGATGCCAGATACTTGGAGAAGCTGGCCGGGTGCCAGTCCATTCCGCCGCGGGGACCCCGGAACGGTTTTTGGTTTCTCGGGGAGGAGAAGGGGATGGCCAGGAGAAGAAAACTAAAAGGAGACGGCAGAAACAGCGGAAAAACATGAACCCGAGTTTGGACACATGCAAGACTTGTTTTGGGAACCTTCCTTTCAATCAATCTGCAATGTGTTTCTGAGGTGAATTCGAGCACAGATGAGAGGCATACAGTTTCACTCACGGGATTGTTGACCTTGTGTGGCGAACCATGAGGCAACAAGGTATTTGTTTGTACCGCGCTTGTTAGAATTTGTGAGAAGGATGGTTTCGAGGGTGTCTGCTGTGAAATGATCAAAGCGCCGGCCGCGGCGATCTCGACCAACCCGAATCACAATGGCGCACATTACCATTGCCCGCGGCACCGTTTTCGGGGAGTACCTTGAAATCCCCGATTCCAAGCTGAACAGCAAACCTGCACAGAAATCGCCGAACGCAGAACCCGCAAGGCATGTTTGTCCGGAATGCTGTCGAACCCCTGCCCACCGTGTTAGAAATACTTCTGTTCACCTAGCAGTTGGGAAAGGTAGTTGCGATTTGAGACACGGCTGTTATCGGGACCTGCATGCTGCCAGTGCTTCAGTCCGTTTGTCGCGATGCTGGACAGGACTGAAGGAGCTTCTCAGGTGTGGCAGTTGCTTCGAAGTATTGCCTCAAGTTTCTTCAGGGCTGATCGCATTTCGAGGATGTTTCGTTCAGGGCGACCGAGTTCCACATGTTTTGGCTACAGGGTATGCTGAAGGGGGATATTTGAGATACGTGATCCGCTTGGAATCTAGCCAGAATCTGAGCGCTCTCTCAGAGGGGATGCTCAATGGGCTGCGAAAGGAAGGCAACCACGTGCCTGAACAGCAACAATCCCATTTGCCTCTTTGTCAAAAAGGACTCTCGAGAGGCGCGGTTGCTGTCCCTTCGAGGTGTGACAACACAAAAACATACGGCCCTTCAACTTCAGTACTTGGCTCTTCAGCCTTCAACTTCGCGAATGGAAATACCCTTAGGTGCAGCGAAAGGCTGTTTTCCGCATAGGAAGCTCAGTTGCCTGCCCTTTGGTAGGTCGCGTGGGTCGCAAAAAAAAGGCGACCCCAAAACAAGATGGTCTCCTTTTGTTTTTATATTTTCTACATTTCGGGTCACTTACTCAAAGGCTCCCCTGTTGCAGCTCCACTCCTTGGCTGGGGGAACGCCTCGCCCAGGCCGGACATGCGCCCGGAGGCGCGCCTGGCACCGCAGCAGGAGGTCTCGTGAGCCAGACGGGAAATGAGCCAAGCGCTCGTTGCGCTGCCACCGTTTTCCCACCCCTCACCCCCAAAAAAAGCAGCACACAGCGCTGGTTTATGGCCTCAAAAAGGTTGGGAGGCGATGTTTGCGCGTTTGGGTTGCCTTGTTTCCGTCCCAACCACAAAACTAGTTGCGGAGTTGCGTATTGATTCTCCACATAAGGTCCAGGGTTGAATGGATCTCCTTTGGTTTTGGGTAGATCTCTTCAGTACCAGGTCTGCATTCTGCTTGAGCTAATGAAAGAGCAAGACTCAAGGCCTGCTGCCCTATGAACTGGGCAAATTGCACTTTGACCTCACACAGTTTTGATGTGCCACCTCACTTATGAAGCTTGTTTTATTCCGGTCCAGTTCTTATTTCAGGTCGGTCATCGTCGTCGTCGTTGCCGTCGCCGCCATCCTCCTCCTGCTCCTCCTCCTCCTCCTCCTGCTCCTCCTCCTCCTGCTCCTTCTCCTCCTCCTCCGCCTCCTCCTCCTCCTCCGCCTCCTCCTCCTCCTCCTCCTCCTCCTTATCATGATCATCATCCCACTATGAGTTGTTCTCCTTTGATGCAAATCTGTTTCACAGATTTGTGGCAACGTAGGGACTTCTTTGTGCTTTACCCTGGCCCCCTGCTCGGCTTATCACCACCTGCAAGTTCCAAGTATTGTATAGGGTTTTCCCCACACATGTCCCCTTTGTGTGGGCCCAAGTGCAATCAGACTAAACCCCAAGTTTTCATAGGGGTTGAGATGTTGGGTTTTGCCTCTATTACCCTCCCACTAGCTCGGACCCTGAGGGTTCTCAAAAGGGGGAGCGTTTTGGTGGGTTCCATGTGACTAGGGAACCTGGGGCACAAAGTCAAGCGGCTTCCATCCCTTCCCTTTTCCATGCTTCCCTTCATTCGCTTGTTCCGGTAAGCCACGGCACGGCTCCCGTCTTCATTCTTCCATCATTGTTGCATGCTTGCGCTTTCCTCACGTTCTCGTCCTTTGTTTACTCCCCTGTTGTTTGTTTCGTCACTTTCACCACCAAAAGCAACGCACAGAACGCGCCCCTTGGCAAACCGTGCAGATACGGCGTCGCTCGCTTCGCTTTTTCGGCAGGTACTGGAACTCAACCACCGGGTCCTGGCAAAATGCTGTGGTGCAGGAGCCATCGCCTCGATCTGTTTCTTTCCGCGGCGCGGTTTTTCGGCTCCCAGTGCTTCCACTTAATTGCCACTACAATAGGTAACCAAGGGAACGATCATGCAGAGCTTAGAGGTAAGAAACACCTTGGCTACCTACTACTATAGTGCAACTGGAAGCACTGGGGTGCGTTGCAGTGTTGTTTCTTCGGTTGAGTTGCCACTGAGTTTTCGGGATGCAGTCTTTTACATCTGGTTTGAAGCCAGCTGAAGCTGTCAGGTCAACTTAAGACTTCATTCACAACCCACTCCCTCATTCCCCAAGCAAATCCAGAGGCTCCATGCAATGGGCGAGACTGCCGGGCTGATTTGCACCTTTTGCTGAGGCAAGTCGTAGCTGAGAATGGTCAAGTGTCGTACACTCTGGATGCCTGCGCCCTGGTGATGCAGACGACCTGTCAGTTGGCTTGGTAGGGTGGACGGGCCACGGATTCGATTTGACATCAGAATGCAGGGACAGCCAGTGGTATTGCCGAGTGGTACATGTGCCGGCTCTCTTGTCCTCTTTTAAGGTGGGTCCTTCAAGATCAGCAAACTTAGTATGCGTCAAAATTAGACCCCCACGATAATTCAACTGTGGTTTCCCTTCAATCCAGCCAAAGCCAAGAAGGGTGTACCCTCAACACACACCCAAGTCGAAGTTGCGCCCCGAGAAAACCACAAAAAAGTGCCGAGGTGAAGCGGGGGCTCGTCACCCCGCACGAGGTGCGCCCGCGCTTCGACGAGGAGCTGGTGGCGAAGAAGGCGCGAACTGCCAAGCGCTTCAGCCAAGCCTGGGAGATTAAAAGGGAGGGCTATGTTTTTTTGGGGAATTGTCCCGCTTTTAAAATAGTTTGTTCCTGAATTTTGCCTTAGGCTTCGGACCCGATTTAAAAGGGCGTTCCCTTCTCCCAGAATGTCAAGGTTCCCGCTAAAATCGAACACCGGGTGGAAATAATGTTGGATTCCCATCGAAGTTTAGCCGGCCTGGATTCAAGTAGATCCAGAGAAATTAATTGGGGGTGTGTTCTCCCGAAGTGAAGGATCTCCAGTTTTCAGTAAACCCCCTTTGTGCCTGCCTGCCAGTTGGGTTTGGCTTTTTGGGAGATACCCTGAAAACCAACCTCATTTGGTGGTTCCACATTTGAGGAGACGGACACCATTTGCGGATAAGGAGCACGGCAAAGCTTTGACCAATCTTTTGCCACTGGACTAGGTACATGTGTGGCTCATGTGTTCTCACTTGGGACCTGTATGCTTTGAAAGGCCACCTGGGTCTTCTCATTCATAGACGTGACATGTATTGCAGAAGCGGACGCCTGCATGACGCGGACCCTGCAGGGTTAGAGGCTACCGTCAGAGAACTTAGAGGTTAGACAGACCGATTTTGCTGGAACCGTGTCCGACACTTGTACGTTTAGTAAAGGGAGATATGTTCTGAGACTGTGCTGTTGGCGATGCTGGGGATAACTTAGAGATTAGAGGGAGAGGTTAAAGTTAGACGGTTGCGTCAGAGGTGAGATAGACTTAGTCTAGAAGCGTGTCTGACATCTATCTTTAATAAACGAATGCCATTTTCCAAACTAAGACGTTGATGCTGTCCCAGGCGCCTTTGGGAGTTGCGGATCCGCTTGGAAGTCGGAGCCGCTTTCGGTCGCAGGTGCTGGAGCTGGTGTGCAAGTTTATTCCCTTGAAGGCCCCGCTGCGCGAGCGTGGATGGGTGAAACGTGATTGGAACACCCCACAAAATGGCTGGTTTTCCCAGTCACTTGCGACTTGTGACGCAGTGAAAGAATTTTAGCAAGGGGGTCGTCTGAAACAAACAACAACGGTATCAAGCAATCCAAACAAGGGCTTCTCCAATAAAAATGGGGGACGCCGTCAAAATGGCGGGCGGACGAACTGATTGAATCCTAATGTACAGGCATCTACGTGGCTTTTTTCAAAGGCAAACCACCCGAGCAACGGTCAAGATTCGCCATTAGGGACAATATCAAGATGGGTGCGCTCAGCAACTTGCCATTAAAAGCTGGAGGGGTCACTGATGTACGCAAGACCAGGAAAGGACAGGGGAAACTTACCTGGTTTGAGCTAGGCCGTGATGAAACATACAACCATTCCATGTGCGTTGGACACGACCGCCGTTCCCATGCCAGACATTTGGAGGCCCTATGCTTATGAATCTAGCCACTCGTCGGCCAGTCATAGCTAGTGGAATGCAGTGAAATCCTAAGACTTGTCACATCTTGCGGAATCATGATCACTCTGAGCGGATAAGGTGTCACTGCTTACGGAAATGCAAATGTCACTGCTTACGGAAATGAAAATGTCACTACTTACGGAAATGAAGCCACTACACGCGGAAAAGTATAGGGGTAGAAAAGTATAGGGGTAGGAAGCTCCTTTCTAAGGCTCCTTTCTAAGGCTCCTTTCTAAGGCTCCTTTCTAAGGCTCCTTTCTAAGGCTCCTTTCTAAGGCTCCTTTCTAAGGCTCCTTTCTAAGGCTCCTTTCTAAGGCTCCTTTCTAAGGCTCCTTTCTAAGGCTCCTTTCTAAGGCTCCTTTCTAAGGCTCCTTTCTAAGGCTCCTTTCTAAGGCTCCTTTCTAAGGCTCCTTTCTAAGGCTCCTTTCTAAGGCTCCTTTCTAAGGCTCCTTTCTAAGGCTCCTTTCTAAGGCTCCTTTCTAAGGCTCCTTTCTAAGGCTCCTTTCTAAGGCTCCTTTCTAAGGCTCCTTTCTAAGGCTCCTTTCTAAGGCTCCTTTCTAAGGCTCCTTTCTAAGGCTCCTTTCTAAGGCTCCTTTCTAAGGCTCCTTTCTAAGGCTCCTTTCTAAGGCTCCTTTCTAAGGCTCCTTTCTAAGGCTCCTTTCTAAGGCTCCTTTCTAAGGCTCCTTTCTAAGGCTCCTTTCCAAGGCTCCTTTCGAAGGCTCCTTTCTAAGGCTCCTTTCTAAGGCTCCTTTCGAAGGCTCCTTTCTAAGGCACCTTTC